CTGTAATGACACTGAGAGGTGTGTTCGTTACGATATTGCTGTTGTCTGGTGTGACAGCCTACGAGGAGCCTACAGTTAAGAGGAAAGTGTTGTACAATATTCTCATAGAGTTTGGGGTACGCATGAAAAATATTAGGCTATTTAAAATGTGTTTAACTGAAACCTACAGTAAGGCTCGGACAGGTAAACATTTGTCTGAAACGTTTCCTATTCAAAATGATCTAAAACAAGGAGATGCTTTAACGCCACTAGCAATGTACAGGGAAACCAGGTGGGACTGAAATTAAATGAGGCACATCAGCTGTTGGTCTGTGCCGATGATGTGAATGTACTGGATGATGTGGTAGATACCATAAAGAAAAACACACAAACTTTAATTGAAGCTAGTAAGGAGGTTGATCTAGAAGTAAACCCAGAGAAAACAAAGTATATGTTACTGTCTCGTCACCAAAATGCAGGGCAAAATCATGACATAAAGATAGGAAACAGACGTTTTGAAAATGTGGCACAGTTCAGATATATCTGGGAACGACAATAACAAATCAAAACATGATTCAGGAGGAAATTAAGAAGAGAGTGAACTTGGGTAATGCTTGCTACCATTCAGTCCAGAACCTTTTGTCTTCTCGTCTGCTGTCTAAAAATGTGCAAATCGGAATATACAAGATTTGAGGCTTTCACGGCGGTGACTATGAAGAAAGCAGTCTTCTGGGATTTGGCACCGTTAACACCACATATACACGGTGCCAAATCCCAGAAGACTGCTTTCTTCGGAATATACAAAATTATCATTCTGCCTTTCGTTCTGTATGGGTGTGAAACTTGGCCTCTTACATTACGGGAGGAACACAGACTGAGGGTGTTTGAGGAGAATATTTGGACCGAAGAGAGATGAAGTGACAGGAGGCTGGAGAAAACTGCATAATGAGGAGCTTCATAACTTGTGCTCTTCTCCAAGTATAATTAGAATGATCAAGTTAAGGAGGATGAGGTGGGCAGGGCATGTAGCGCGCATGACGGAGAAGATGAATGCAGAGGCAGTTTTGGTGGAAAATCCAGAAGGAAAGAGTCCACTAGGAAGATATAGACGTAGGTGGGAGGACTAAAGTAGATTTTAAAAGAAAATTAGGATGGGGTGGTATGGACTGTATTGATCTCGCTCAGGACAGGGGCTAGTGGAAGGCTCTTGTGAACACGGCAGTGAACCCTCTTAAAACGAGTTCTGCTCTATGGTGATAATAGATATAGCTGCAACGAACCGTCTGAAAATCGGACAGCCGAGCACAAAATTCGTATATGATTCTGCAGGTTCCTACAGCAGTAATATCTTTTACACCCCAAAAATGGAAGCAGCGGGTGTCACCGAAAGAGGTAACCACCTACGAGAATATACGGCGTCAAAGTCCAGGAGAGCACAATAAACATTTCAAAATACTATTAAATATCCGTCAGGCAATGGAAAACGCCCAGTACAGTTGTGGTATCGAACTTAAAGAGAACTTCTACGCTAATGCGTTACCATTTCGCTTTACAGGTTGGAAGATATCAGTTTAAATGCAATGAAACCTAACAAGCTGGTGTAGCTGTAACGCCCTGCACTTATAATTAGGATATACTGAATTGAAATCTCGGTTGGGACACCGGCCAGCATTCACTGGGTCCCTACACGCTAATGGCGAGACAATATCTCGTTTAGGCCATAACAGTTCCTTCCATATCCTTTCTAATTCATCAATTTTATCATACCAACCGATGCCACACTGTCTGTATAACTGTTAGCGCCGTGAAGTAACCTAAAAGATATTGTGACGTAGTATGGAGTGTGACTATAGACGGGGTTTGGATTGGTGACTCGATTTATTGGCCACTTATACACACGACTCGTAACTACAAGCATTTACAGCGCCATCACTAATCTCCACGCTTTACAAATCACTACAGCACACGCTAAGTCTTTTCCATCCTGCAGTGTCTTCATTAGACGTTTCCTGGTAAAAGCTTCTAACAACGGCTATTCCTCTGCTTTCGTGCTCAAGTTCCGTATAGAACTGCCAACTATCAACTGACTTGGTTGTTCCAGTTCTTTTCTTTATAACTCCTAAGCACGGACCGCGTAGACAACACAATTTATTCTCGTTGCATACGTAACCGTTGCCGCGGGAACGTATTTCCCGAGCCGTTGCCGAGAAATTGGTCTGGTATAACTGCCATTTCACGGTCGATGCATAGCGAGGGTACTACACGCTATACTATGCAATGAAATGAGGTCAAGTGAACTGGACAACAGACAGAAGAAATGTATGCGAATAGATAATTAGCGTGAATTAGAAGGAATGCGGCCTTTTTAACCTCATTGCCTACCAATTAATTTTTTTCCCTTGGCATTACAGCCCCAGTGGGCCTAGGCCTACGTCCATGAACTTCTCCGTTCACTTCTGTTCTTCTAGATCTTACACATTCGGTAGGACTCCTTGGGCGGGTGATCAGCTCGTCGCAAGGCCTCTACCTGTACACAAACACAAACTAAACATCCATGCCCTGAGTGGGATTCCACCAATTAATTACACTTCATAAAAAGGAAATACGCTAAAGAGTTTTTAAGCCCCAGGCCATTTATCATTAATTATTAAAGTTGAGTAGCCCACCAAGTATGACATAACCGCATAGCAAAAACGGCACAAGAAACAGCGAGGCGTGTTGCAGAAGAGTAGGAGCAATTTCGATAATTTAATACCGGTTTGTAAGATCCGAGTTCCTCACTGTGACGACTATGAAGATTGCTCTCTTCTGTGATGTGACGCAGTATACTCTGGTACAGATTTACAGATGTTTTGGAGGATCGTGCTGCCTCCATCTTCACGGTAGAAGCACCTCAGCTCAGCAATCGCAGTAACGAGAACAGTGAAACAAGAAGTTCTGGGAATACTGGCTTACTTTCTCCTTCGATATGACACGGACCGCATAGAAAATGTTAGGAGACAAATAGACGGCCCGTTGCCTAGCAACGACGTAGGGACACGGAAAGCAAGGCGACCCCATAAGCCTAAAAAATAGGGAAGAACACACAGACATACACAGCAAATGATCTCATAACATACACAATAAGTCCATTCCTCTGACAACACGGACCGCACAGAAAACAAAAAATGGGGGATCACAGACAGCAATGTGATATCATAAGCCTAAAAATATGGAAGAATACCTAGGCATACATACAGCAAGATAATCTCATAACATACACTATAAGTTCATTCCTTTGACATAACACGGGCCACAGAGAAAACCAAACACACAGACGGAAGGTGATATCATAAGGCTTATAACAAAAATCAGGAGGCGGATATACAGATGGAAACACAAGACAGACAGAAAAGTGAGCTCATACGCCTCCTTTTATTCCCCTCCCCCCTCGGTAGGCTGAAGCATGAGCCTGCCTCCAGCTACAGGAAACACATCTCTTACAGCAAAACCTTACCTCTTCGTTGCAATGACACTAATTAGCTAACTGCATGGAGCAATGTCCTTCTTAGCGAGGTTCACTACCGGGCCCTGAGCTTGCTAATCGTCCGTTTCCCGAGGCGTATGAATCAATGCCAGCGCCCGTATCCTGTTCTCTGAGATCCATTCCTAGAAGTTCCGGGAAGAACTTACCGCCCACTTTCCTCTCATACAACACGGACAGCATAAAAACGGGGGGGGGGGGAGGACATACAGACAGCACGGTGATCGCATAAGGCTCCTTGATACGACACGGACCGCATAAAAAATTAAACATCAGGCAAGGGTTTAGTAAATACGTTCCTGCGGCATCATAGGACTATCATCACCAATGCTATAAAAAGAGGACAAATTAAAATCGCCACAAAATACATAATAAAACAAACGAAAGGAGTAACAAACAGTTAACCCCGTAGAAACAAATAATAATAAAAACCCAACCAAATTAACATACCCAAGAGAAGCCATCTCCAAAATAAGGTCCTTGAAATAAAACCCAGCAAGAAAAGGCATGCCACACAAAGCAAAACTGGAAACACCCAAGCAAGCCGAAGTAAAACTGCAAACGGGTTTTTACCCGGTGGCAGTGATACCACAATAACACACCACTCAAACAAAACCGGTGGCAGTGATACCACAATAACACACCACTCAAACAAAACAGCAGACAAAACTACACAAGCAATAAAGGACACACCACACTAAATGAATACATGTAACAATGGAAGAATTGCTGGACGCGGTGTTTACTACGCGGTACGTGTCGTATAAAATACTCAGCATGTAGATTATTAGTTCTTCCCAGGACTTCTTGTAACATCCTGACGCCTATACCTAAGTCTCCGCAACTGTCTCTTCCTTTTCCGGTTTCCGACCAAAATATGTCTACCTATGTATCTCCCAGACTACAGGGCTTAATGTTTGATCATGAAGATACATTTCTAACAATACAGAGATTGGGGTAAATAATAGCCCTTCAACAGGGCACGCGGTAGCCTAGTTAGTTGAGGCACTACGCTACAAGCCGGAAGGTCGCGGGTTCGATTCCCGATGAGATCACTGGGTTTTTTCAATTGACAATCCTTCCAGCCGCACTATGTCCTTGGGGTCGACTCAGCCTCTAACAGAAGTGAGTACGAGGACTGTACCTGGAGGAAAACGACGGCCGGCGCGTAAGGCTGACAACCTCACTGCCATCTGTGGGCCGACTGTCTAGAAAATGTGGGAGCCTCGACGTCTCACAACCCTATGGGTATCCACGGCCTGTTACAGGGATAGCTTTACCTTCTTTTTTAATAGCCCTTCAGTGAACCAATGAGAGATGGAAAGAAGTCAAGAGACAGGACATAGGAGCCAAGAAGGGCCTATTCAAGGATAGGGCGGCTGGCAGTTGAGACATAACATTAACAAGAGCTGACATAATTGACGTCAGTGGTTAAACTATTACATTAACCTAGTATCAAATGGTAACTAACTTCTTAACAATTATCTCTATTGCGTACCAGAAAAGGTGGCCACGGAGAATAAGTATGTTCCCACACGGGCAGGTCAACTGGAAGTCAGCAAACCAGCTTTACTTACCTGCAACAAACAGAAAATTTTATGAACGCGATATGAATAAAATATACACTTAAACGATGGAGCGAAAGTATTCGGGTTAAAGCCAGAGGAAGTGACTCAAGGATGGCGGAGAAAATTACGTAATGAAGACATAAATAAGTAACACAAGTCCTTCAAATGTTAGTTATTGAATAGAAGTAAAAGTTTTGGCTTTATGTTTCGGCCATTATGGTTCATCAAAATGTAATTATTATTGAGTAATATCTGAATACAAATATCCTGTATTATACACACGGACATGAGCCCAACAATACATCCGGCAACAGAAACGGGGGTTGGCATTACATTCTTACATTTACCCAACGAAAGTTATTAGCTGTTACTAACCACTGACTTTCGATACTCCCAGCTCATTTTAACCATACCGTCACGTGTTAGTGACTGGGCACGGGGTTTGGACTGATAATTGGATTTACTGAACGCTTATAACTCGTAACTACGAATAACTTAACAACATTCTCATTGTTTACACACTCTTAAGAACGATATACTCGTATTAATGGTGAGCGGGAATGCCTCAGTCGGTATAGCGACGGGCTTGACGGCAGGGGTTTAATTCCAGGCAGAGACAAGTTCTGTTTTTGTATTCACCAATGCGACCAGACCCCTATTGGGTCATACCCAGCCTCCCATTTAATGGATACTGGGAAGATTCTTTCCCCGGGGATAAAGGGGCGGGGCCGTGAATCTAACCACTCACCTCCATCTAGTGCCGAGGTCAAGAATGGTGGAGCCTTACATCCACTCTCCCATACATATTCATGGCACGGTGCTTAATTAATTAAGTACAGGGACAACTTTACCTACAGATTACAACTACAGCACATTAAGTTTTGTTTGTCGTTGCGAGGTAATGGCTGCTAACAATGCAACAAGACTGACATCACTTCCAACAGTTTCTTTACTGTTGCCTGTTGATTCGTTGCTGCGAAAACATGCTTACCGAGCCGTTGTCTAGCTACAGCCGCTTCCTCTTGTTCCAATATTCTGATCTTCAGGCGTCATGTCACAACAAAAATAAGAATTTGGCGGTGATTCAAGCGTATATATACCGAAATAAACACATTTCATTCGGAAGGTAGGCTCAGAATAGGGACAAACAGCTTGTTTCTGTAACGCTGAGAGAAAGATGTCGCATTTGAAAACATATTCCTTCCAGCATCGAAAATGCTTAATATGTCCATCATCAGTAATGTCAAGACGACAGGTCCACAGTCTCTTTCAAAACAATTCCTCCACTTAATGCGATCTAGAGCTTTCTCCTTCAAATGACAGTATCCTCTTCTGTCCCCAAGGTCATCCAGCATCTTCTTACGTCTTCTTCCTCGTCTTCTTGTCACTTCTATCCGCCCATCTATCTTTCCTTCGATAGCTTCTTTTAGAAGGCAGTTTCTGCGTAAAACATGACCAATCCAATTAGCCTTCCGTTTTCTTATTTCATGTAGGATATTCCTCTGCTCACTGACTCTAATTAACACTTCTTCATTTCTCACATAATCGGTCCAACTGATCTTCTCCATTCTTCTCCAACACCACATTTCGAAACTTTCCAGATGTTTCTGATCTACTGCCCTAAGTGTCCATGTTTCAGCCCCATACAGAGCTATGCTCCAAATGTAGCATTTCACTAGTTTCTTCCTCAAATTTAAGTCCAATTTGCTGGTAAAAAGATTCTTCTTCTTGCTAAATGCAGCTTTTGCCATGGCAATCCTGGATTTAATTTCACAAGTACACCTTCCATCATCTGTTAACAAGCTACCCAAATATTTAAAACATTTCACATTCTCCACTTGTTTTTGGTCTATCTTTATTGTGACTGGGGTTGGTTGTCTCGAAATTTTCATTACTTTTGTTTTCTCCACATTCATTTCCATGCCATAGCACCTTCCAATTTCAATTAGTCTATCAATCATGCCCTGTAGCACAGTTTCTTCCTTAGCCATTAACACAAGGTCATCTGCATATTTCACAGTTTGAATAATTTGCCCTCCTACTTTGAAGTCACCGAGCCCATCCAGAGCTTCCTTGGTAAGGCATTCGCTGTACAAGTTGAACAGAATTGGTGATAAACAGCATCCTTGTCGAACTCCTCTTCCAATCTGCACACTTCCTGTCTCCCCCCTGTCCAGTCGTACTCTAACTTTCTGATCCATGTACAATTTGCTAATCAATCTTCTTTCATGCCAATCGATACCTGTTTCTTTCAGGATCTGCATTAATTTGGTCCAGTTTACCCGGTCAAATGCCTTCTGCCAGTCTATGAAGCAAACACACAGTTCTTCATCTATCTCCAAAGTTCGTTCCGCTATAATTCTCATCATCCCAATTGCATCCCTGGTTCCTTTTCCTCTTCTAAATCCAAACTGATCTTCTCCAAGTACATCCTCTATTTTCCTTTCAATTCTTCTTTTAAGTATCTTTGCTATTATCTTTGCTGTATGTGCAATAAGACTTATTGTGCGATGGTCGCTGCATTTTGTAGCTTTTGTCTTTTTCTTTAAGGCAATCATTGTAACTTCTGTAAAGTCCTTGGGCCACTCTCCACTTTCATATATGGTGTTCATTAGTTTTGTCAGTGTTTTCAAACCACCTTCTCCCAGTAACTTGAGCACATCTCCAGGTACATCATCATCTCCTGTAGCCTTTCCCTTCCTCATTTCCTTGATAGCTTTTTCCACCTCACTTTGTAAAATATATGGTCCTTTCTCGTCTGTATCTACTTCTTCTTCCGGTTCAACTTCTAAGGTTTCTGGCCGATTAGGTCGATCATATAGTTCTGAAATATAATTTTCCCAAATTTTCAGCACTTGCCTCTGATCTACTATTCTATTCCCCTGGGAGTCTTCGATGCCAACATTTTGAATCCCATGATTCTCTTTCCATCCTAGTTCTTTTGTCTTCATGTACATCAAATCATAACGGCCTGTTCTTTGAAATTCCATAATCTCATTACATATCTTCTCAAGATATTCCTTTTTGGCCCTGTCCGTGGCTCTTTTCAATTCATTCCTCAGTCTCCTGTATTTCCTCCTGCCTTCTTCATTGTTGACATTCTTCCATTTCCTTCGCTCCTCCATTTTACTCATCATCTCCTGTGTAACCCATGGTTTTCTTGCTATCTTCCCAACTTTACCTACCAAATCACTGATAGTATCTAACATGCATTCTTTTATATCGTTCCACTGCGCTTCAGCATTTCCGCTTTCACCTTCAATTGCACCGAGTTTCTCTTCTAGAGTCTCTTGCACGCTTTGTCTTTGAGCATATAACTTCTCCAAATCCCATCTGGGTCTGCGCTTTCGAAATCCTATAATTTTCTTCAACCTGGTTCGGAACTTGGCAACCAGCAAGTTGTGGTCAGAGTCAATGTCTGCCCCAGGAAGCGTCTTCACATCCTTCACACTGTTTCTGAATCGATGTTTCACAAGGATGTAGTCCAGCTGATGCCTCTTCCAATAGGAAGGTAAAGTTATCCTTGTGCTTACTCATTTAAGCACGACGCCATGAAGACGCAAGGAGGAATGTAGGAGGGAGAGTAAGTAAACAGGTCACAGACAGATATAAAACGTAAAACGTGTGATATTCGAAACTGAAAAACAAAAACAAACATTTGTTTCTCGACATAGCCTCCACCAACGCTGATACACTTGTCCCATCGCTTTACCAGTGTGTCGAAACCCAAAGCATAGAAGTCTCAGCCACCTTCGCTCTTCGGTGGTACACCCCACAAGCACGGTCGCCATTTAGCCTATAAAACCAGCCGGTAATGAATCTGGATTGTGCTGCTACCTAGTGATACGTACAGAAAACCAATTACATCCATTACAGCTGCTTTACTTCCTTTTGTGACCTATTTACTGACTCTCCCTCGTAACATTCTCATTTCTCGGCACTAGGCGGAGGTGAGCGGTCAGCGTCTCGCCCTGGCCGCTTTACTCCCGGGGAAAGAGGAAAGATCCCTTGGTACCCACTGACTAGGAGGTTGGTTGGGGCTCAGAGCCGGTCTGAACGTCACGGAGTAAAGCAGCAGCCAGGAATCGAATCCCTGCCGTCCATTACGTAGCCAGGCGTTATACCGGCTCACGAAATATTGGCTGTTTGCTGTAAGAATCATACGAGACGCTGTGGGCATGTGCAGAACGCGTCGATGCCAAAGTAAGTGGTACATATAGGGAGCACTGTGCTTTGCGGGGTTATCAGCTTCCTTTAAGCACGGGGGATAACATGAAAGGCAGGACACATCGACATCTTGTCATGTGACGGCTAATCGAGTTGTGCAACAGGTGGCGGGTGTGTTTCCTTTAAATATCGGCTGTTCCCAGCGAGCTGAGTGCGGCTGCACTGCCACACTCTGGCACAAACCTTCTTATAATTCGGATTCCCTTGTCAGTTCGCTTGCTTACAGATTGTATAGGCTTCAAAATCACTTTCCAGCCCAGTAAACTGCTGCTGGCCCAAGCCAGCACAGCCATGCTTGGTTTCGGGCACCATAAGCAAGGATTTTTGTTCCTGTAGACTTCTATGCGTTCTGAGATGGGGCCTCCTCTTCGACCTGATTACTATTGGTCACTCCCTATCTACTGAGGAGTGAGTCCGCTGGCACTCACTCTCACTCACTTCCGCTCTCACGCTGACAACTTCCGGCATCTTTATATACCGCAATCAGGAATACCAACATTTTGAAGAACAATAAAAACGAAAAAGGTAAAGGTATCCCTGTCACCGGCCGTGGAGGCCCATAGGGTTGTGAGACGTCGAGGCTTCCACATTTTCTAGACAATCGGCTCACAGATGACGGCAAGGTTGTCAGGCTTACGCGCCGGCCGGCCGCCCTTTACCCTTAGGAAGATTCCTGGTACTCATTTCTGTTAGAGGCTGAGTCGACCCCACGGCCATAGTGCGGCTGGAAAGATTACGTAAGATCCACCTCATCGGGACTCCAATCCGCGACCTTTCGGCTT